ATCAATACCACCTTACTTCACTTTACTCAAAACAAATTCAAACTGTCTGGGGGGAGGGGGGTAATCAATACCACCTTACTTCACTTTACTCAAAACAAATTCAAACTGTCTGGGGGGAGGGGGGTAATCAATACCACCTTACTTCACTTTACTCAAAACAAATTCAAACTGTCCGTTCACGTTGCTTATTTCCGTCTCAGAATGAATACTCGCAGATGAGATGTAAAAGGGATCAGTCATAGTATTAGTAAAGCCCTGAGAATTAATCTATAGTTACCAAGTTCTGCTGTCTCTTCAATCGAGTTAGTCTGTGTGATTGATTGACTGTCAACGCGTTATACACCTTCTTACACGCAAGTAAGACCAGACTTTCGTTAAATATACACATATTAAGCTCAATCACTGGCAAACGCATGTATGTATACGTTAATGTTCACCCGCAAAGGCATAATTATTCTCTCTTTCGCTAACTCACCCACTCCTCCTCCTCTCTCTCTCTCTCTCTCTCTCTCTCTCTCTCTCTCTCTCTCTCTCTCTCTCTCTCTCTCTTTCTCTCTCTCTCTTTCGTTAACTCGCATACTCACTCTCATACTCACCCACTCACTCACTCACTCACTCACTCACTCACTCTCTGTTTCACTAACTCCTTCATTCACTCTTCCTTTCATTTGCTCATTCACTCACTCTCTCTTTCACAAACTCACTCATTCATTCCCTTACTCACTCACTCTCTCCTTCACAAATTCACTCATTCATTTCCTCACTCACTCACTCACATAGTAACTCATTCACTCGATCACTCACATAATAACACGTTTTTAAAATATTTGGGTTTTTTAAAAAGTTATTACCATATCCACAATAGCAAGACATCAGAAAAATACCAACTGAAAAATCATAATATGACATCTGTTGTCATATGATAGAAATAATTTAAAAGGGTAGTGCATCTTCTTAAAACTAGCTGGGCCTGTATGGTCGGATTCAATCTGAAAGTCGAATTGATGTGACGTGCTTTTAGCAAAGGAAATCAATAAGAATAAACTGTGACCTCTAAAAGATATAGCCCCTAAACAATTGGCACTAGTGAAACGTAGGTAACGGCATTTTCCGTCAAAGATAAAAGGATTAAAGAACATAAGAGGTCTTCCAAGAAATTGCAGTCTTTGGTATTGCATCAAAGACAAATAATTTCCACTTTTTTTTCATGGCTTCAAAAGTATTTCCTCCTGAATCAGCTTCCCCAGGGACCAAGAAACCCCAATATGGCTGACACTGGCAACCGAATAGCGTTGCTGAGTGAGCCCAACTGGCATAAAGAAAGAGCACGCTGTTCGCGTCGAATGGTAGTTGCAGTCATTATGTCACACGTCTGTCCAAAAAAAAGCATCCGAGAAGGGTCGATGAAGAGTGCAGCTCACATAAAGCTGATGTGTGTCCGAGAAATCCTTGTGATCCTTGCCTGTAGACCTTGGGTCATCAATCGATACCAGAACAGCGAGAACCACTCCCGACCGCATCGCCTTTTGTCCCGGAAATGACGGGAAAAGCTATACCGAGATTGATAGAAAGCTTACCATTTTGTTATACTTTTTTTGTGCAGCTTGCGGGGAAGACCTGAACAGTTTGGGAGCACGCTTGGTAGAAACAGGGAGAGAGAGAGGGGGGAGAGGGGGGGAGAG